CATGAGTAATGAATACTGATCATCATGAGTAAGGAATACTGATCATCATGAGTAATGATTACTGATATACATGAGTAATGAATACTGATCATCATGAGTAAGGAATACTGATCATCATGAGTAATGATTACTGATATACATGATTAATGGTTGAGTTAATTACTCATAAACATTGGTTTTAAAAACGTGAGTTTTTTAGTAATGGATTATCTTGGACACAAGATTTAATGTAAACAGAGCTTGATTTGTTTTGTTTTTGATTTTGTAAAAACTGGACATCCCAGTGCAATCACTTACCGTAAACGGTTTTAGTAATGATGACTAATTTGGGTTTCCAGTGCATAGTAATAATAATAAAAATGTGATTTCATCATAAAACAAGTTTCAGAAAAATAAAAATGGAAAAAACAGGATTTAGGAAAATAATAACAAATACTTTCATAGGGCCTTCCATAATTCCCAGAGAAGCCTGAGAGACAGAAATCATAATGTATATACTACAGAACAAGTGTAAAGACTGTGGGAATAAAGAGTTTGTTTGTCAAAGCTTCAGAAAGCTCAACTCCCAATTGAGTTATAAATTAAATTCAATTTACAGTCAATTTCCTTGACTGATGAAGCCTTCCGGATCGAAGAGGAAATGTTTCAGCACAAAAAAAGAAACTGTCCAAATGACCTGACTGAAAAATGTTGGATTGTATGCCTGGATTATTGAGCATGGACTTTGTTAAATTCAATTTAGTTTATTTATATAGCACCAAGTCACAACAGAAGTCATCTCAGGGCACTGAACAGGAACATTCACATAAAAGCCAGTTAGTAAAGTTCTCTATCTAAGGAATCCAGCAGACAAGTTGAATCTTGGCTTCGTTGCAGTCTCCCATCCTGAGCAAGCACAGTGGCAACAGTGGAAAGAAAAACTCCCTTTAACAGGAAGAAACCTCCAGCAGAACCAGCTCAGGACAAGAGGCCATCTGCTTTGACCGGCTGGTTGAGAGGACAGGAAGGAGAGACAGACGAACACAGAATGGTAGGTCCAGATGCACTTTCTATAAGAGGAAAGACAAAAAGCCTTTGTTAAGGATAGAAATACAGTAATTACAAATACAAACAGGTATTATACAATACAATACAAATACAAATACAAATACAAATCAGGTCTCTCTTGTAAATGAGTCCTCGAGGCTCAATGGGATTTACCTGTCTAAATAAAGGTTGATTGATAAAGACAGCAGCAGAGAGCAGAGAGAGGAAATGTGTTGAGTTTGTCCTCCAGCAGTCTAAACCTATAGCATCATAACTAAGAGATTTCTCAGGAAACCCAAGCTGATCCTAACTATAGGATTTATCAACAGGGAATTGTATCAACACAGTCACTACTACATTCATGTAAGGTCAACTTTGTGTGTTTGAACACTGAAAAGTATTTTGAGGCTGCATTCACACCAGCCCAGTTTAGTCCGCTTTAATCGAACTCTAGCTCGTTTTCCTAGAAAGTCCGGTTCGTTTAGGGAGGTGTGAACGCACCATCGAACTCTGTCACGGAACAAAAAGGTGAATTCTGGCCCGGGCTAAAACCTAGGTCTCGGTCCGGTAGAAGTGAACTCCAGCGCGGTTCGAGTACAGTGTGAATGTAAACAGACCGAGCCCCGCTCCGCAGAACAAACACACATTTCTCTTATATGGAGCCGTCAGCTGCCTTGTGTGAAGAACAATATTCTCCATGGTCTTCTGTCTCATCTTCTGCTCATGCTGAGTCCATTTTTGAAAAATGACAAAATATAACTCCTAAAACTGCTAAAACTTGATGCCACTTCATTTTTATTTTTATTTACAGAAGAAGAAGACGTGTCTTCAGAGGTTTTTGGGTCGTTTCTTTCAGTAGTTTTAGGTGTAGCGCCCCCACAGGCGAGTGGGGGAACAGGTTGGTTCAACAGGTTGACTCGACTGCACAGTGCAGTGTGAATGCAAACGCACCAGCTCAAATGTAACAAAAGGTCATGAATATTGGTCCCGAACCGAACCGAGTCTACCGGACTATCTGGTGTGAAAACGACCTTACTTTAAGGTCTATCTGAGCTGTGGAGCTCCAAAGACAACACTGACTGTTTTTCACCCACTTCACCAAAATCCAATTGTTGTCAAGAGAGAAAATCTGCATTTCCTCAGAGTTTTGAATGAAAAACTGTAGTAATAGTCACAATACACTGTTTCTAATAAATGTTTTGATGTATCCTACAAAGTTAAGTCAGGTCCTCTGGACAGATTCTTCTTGTTGAAATGTTTCATCTTTTATCCAAAAGACTTCATCAGTCCGAGGAGCTGCAACAAACTCAGTCTTATAAATAGCACCTTCACATAGTGGGTCAACCACTAAGACTAGTTATCTTGTCACCATCAAATTGGCTGACCCACTATGTAAGGTTCTATTTATAAGACTGAGTTTGTTGTGGCTCCTAAGACTGAAGAAGTCTTCTGGATGAAAGACGAAACATTTCAACATAAAGAAACTGTCCAGAGGACCTGACTTAACTTTGTAGGATACATCAAAACATTTATTAGAAACAGTGTATTGTGACTATTACTAGAGTTTTTCATTCAAAACTCTGAGGAAATGCAGATGTTCTACCTGGATTATTGAGCATGAACTTTGATGTTTTGATGTATATTTTTGTTTGGGTTTTTCCAAAGTGGCAGAAGGAGATTTGACCTTAAAATTGTAATGGAAACTACAATGAATCTTATTAAAGGGGCTTCAGTGTTCCTGCATTGGTAGGACAAGGCAAGATAAAATTAGATGGATAAAAATGATGAAAATGAACTAAATGAAGGGAAGTGTTTGATAATTGCTAATGGTTGTTCTCTTTGTACTGGGAAATATTTCTGATTTGATTGGGCTCAATGTTTTTTTTACAAAAAAGTGAGGAAATTTGTCTGATTATGCCGTTTGCAGAAAAAAAACAAAGTCTGACACGGGTTAAGATAATGGATGGATGACTGTTCCATTGTGTGACACTCCGTTCTCTGTTTTTGCAGCTCATCTATGAGAGCTTTGCCAGGTTCCTGGTGGAGCATAAAGGATATGACAAAGACCTCCTCAACCTGACCCCTGCCACCTGGGACTTCTGGTGAGTCCGCACCAGCATTTTCCCAGCCAACATGGAAACTCTCAGTCACAGTAATGTGCACCTGATGAAATTTACAGAAAACTAAACATTATTTATCTATCCTGTCAAAGTTTAGTTTAGGAGTACTAACCTTCACATCATCACTAAAAACCCTGTCACACTATAACGTTTTATAATGCAGGGGTTCCCAAACTTGTCCATGCCATGGCCCCCCGAACAGCATTAGCTTCTGGCCGAGGCCCTCTTCGCAAACCCACAAACAATGATACAAAATATATAAAGAAACATCAACTTTTAGAATATTTGAACTTTTATTCACTATATTCAATTATTACAGCTGCTGAGCATAAAAATGTTATTTACTAATATCCTGATGCATGCTCAATAATCCAGGTAGAAAAATCCAAAAAAGTTCAATCTGGTCCTCTGGACATTCAAAAAAAAACAAAAAAACAAAACAAAGCAAAAACATTTAGAAACATTTTGTCTCTCATCCGAGAGACTTCCTCAGTCTGAGGTGCTGTATTCAGCTCAGTCTCTTAAATAGCACCTTCTCAGAGTGGATCAACCAGTTTGCTGCTGACAACCAAAACTAGCTGATCACATGCTCAAGAAGGACCATCAGCCTAACAATGGCTCATTAGCACACTGATGGCTGTTTACTGTTCACAGAGGGCTGAGTGATACTAGCAATCACAGCATTGTAAGAGGGGGACAGTTGAACCCGGAGCGAATCGGATGGTTCCTCCGGGACAGGCGTGCTCAGCTGCAGCCCCCGCTGCTCATTCCCTCCTGGGGAGTGTAGTGTCGGTGTAGGGGGGCTGAGTGAATGCTCACCCCATCCCACCTCGTTTTTGCATCGGCGATCACACCGCTCCCGGCCGACGGCGCCCTCAGGGGTTGCCCGGCGTAACCCAGGAGGAGGCTGACATGAAAGGACCCTTTTTTACGTCCCACGCCTTTCCCGCCAGTTCGGATGATCCGGCGGGAAGGTTGTTTACTGGGCTCATGCGTCAACACCCTGCTCATTACTCGCCTTTATTAGGTGATGTGACGGCCTGTTCCATGACACGTTCTGCCTTTAGTGTTTACAGAATGAACATTGTTGTTTCATGGAACTCCATTTTATTCACATCTGTCTGCATGCATTACAGTGTGAGATGTCATCAATCACAAGTTGTGACTGTTATTTGATTCTATTGTCTTTAATCAGTTCACGACTATTTTTACCAATCAGTTCATCTGATTAATAATCAGCTCTTCTGTTATTATTAATCTGTTCATACGGTTCAGCCGTAAACCAGTTGGTTCATGGCTCTTTTCAGCGTTTTTCCCTCCCCGTTGATGTTTCCGGGGCGTTCATGCATTCAGAATGCATAGTTACACAACATGCGTCTGTGCATGGCACATAATTACGCAATGCGTAATTATGCACATGGGAGCTGAGTGATTAGACTTTTTTGGGCAAGCTTCTGCCTCATACGGTGTTCAAATGGACCCAGTGAGGCGAGGACCACATCGGCTTCGCCCTTTACCCACTAAAGCGAAGGCCTTAAAGGGCGAAGCTTATACGACATAGAACGTTGGTTATGTACTGTAACCCCAGATTCTATGAGTATAAGCGTAGCCCTTTAAGCGTTGGGCCTCACTGGCTCCTAAACGGCTGAAGAAAAAGCTATTTTGGGAGCCGATGTCCCGCTCTTAACGTAATTTATACGAACCGGGTGGGGCCCACACAGCAGGTGGGCGTGGACTAAATTTTTTCAGTGCTTATGCTGCGCATAACGGGATAAACCCACTAAAGCGAAGGCCTTAAAGGGCTAGGCTTATACTCATAGAATCTGGGGTTACAGTACGTAACCAACGGTCACAGATTAAAAAAACACTAGATCAATTTACACTGTGTGAAATGCATGAGAGAACAGATGTGTTTTTAGCAGAGATTTGAAGTGAAGAAGGGAGGTGGCCTGCCTGATGTTGGGGGGGGGGGTGGCGGGTTGAAGGGAGGTGGCCTGCCTGATGTTGGGGGGCAGGTTGTTCCAGAGTTTGGGGCCCATGACTGAAAAAGCCCGATCTCCTCTGAGCTTCTTGTTTTTGGAACAGCCAAAAGCAGCTGATCAGAGGATCTCAGGGCCCGAGAGGGAACGTAAGGTTCCAGAAGCTCAGAGAGGTAAAGGGGTGCGGGGCCATTTAAGCATTTGAAGGTCAACAGAAGAATTTTAAAGACTATCCTCGTACGAACAGGGAGCCAGTGAAGGGAGGACAGAACTGGAGTAATATGTTCAGACCTATGAGTTCCGGTTAAAAGCCAAGCAGCAGCATTCTGGATGAGCTGAAGACGTGAGATGGAGGCCTGGCTGATCCCAGCATAGAGCGCATTGCAATAGTCCAATCATGTCATGACAAAGGCGTGGACTAGTTTCTTAAGGTCCGGTCTGGACAATACTGGCTTGAGCTTAGCTACCTGTCTGAGTTGGAAGAAGATTTTCTGCAGAACAGAGTTGATTTGTTTGTCAAACTTGAAGTCAGAGTCTAAAACCATCCCAAGATTTTTACCAGACTGCTTAAGATATGGCTGAAGAGAGTCCAGGTTGACAGGGTCAGTGGCAGCAGTTGAGCTAGGGCTAAAGACAATGACTTCAGTCTTCTCATTGTTAAAACTTAAGAAATTTGAAGCCATCCAGGCCTTAATGTCATCCAGACATTTTAACAGAGGGTGAATGGAGCAAACACTTGCTGGTTTCACAGGCAGGTAGATCTGGCAGTCATCAGCATAGCAATGGAATGAAAGACCATGTTTCCTCAGGATGGACCCCAGTGGGAGCAAATAAAGTGAGAACAGAAGGGGTCCAAGAATCAAACCCTGTGGGACATGGAGGGGCTTAGTCCTAGTGTGAATAGTTTGTCAATCAGGGTTTGGGGGATCATTGTGTTGAAGGCAGATGTGAAGTCCACAAAGAGCATACGGACGTAGGAGTCCTTCTGCTCCAGGTGGTTGAGCGCAGTGTGGACCACAGAGGAGATGGCATCCTCTGCTGATCGCTTCTCACGGTATGCATACTAATGAGGGTCCTCGATGATGTTGATAGTTGTTTTGATGTGAGTCATGACCAGTTTTTCTGAAGCATTTAGCGACTATTGGAGTGAGGGCCACTGGCCGATAGTCATTCAGACCAGTCACTGTAGAACTTTTAGGGACTGGGATGATGGTGGCAGTCTTCAGGCAGGTGGGAACTGTTGCCAGGGTAAGTTAGGTGTTAAAGATGTCTGCCAGCACCTCGCAGAGCTGATAGGCACATTCATTCGACATTTTTCTGGGGATGTTGTCTGGGCCAGTTGCGATGTGCGGATTAATCCTCCTGAAAGTACTCCTTACTTCAGCTGAGGTCACGCTGAGATGCTCTTCATCCAGTGGTGAGGTGAGTCTGGTGCTGGGTGGTCTGTTCGGGTCTTCAAAGCGTGCATAGAACTTGTTGAGGGCATCAGGCAGAGATGGGTCTTTGGGGCATTGTTCACTCCTTCCTTTATAATCTGTTATGCACTTAATGCCCCTCCACATGCTCCGAGGGTCTTGTGAGATTAATTGACCCTCGATCCTCTGTGCTTATGTGGCCTTGGCCCTCTTAATATCAGCAACCAGCTCTTTCCTTGTCCTACTCAGCTCCTGTGAGTTTCCAGACCTGAAGGAAGTGTTCCTTGCTTCCAGCAGGGTGCGCACCTCTGCATTCAGCCAAGGTTTTCTGTTTGGGTAACTTTTAACATATCTGATGGTGGAGATGGTGTCAGTACATGTACTAATGTACCCCAGGACTGAGGATGTGTATTGGTCCAGATCAAGCGAGCCTCCATTTTCAGCAGCTTCTCTGAAAACCTGCCAGTCTGTTTGATCAAAACAATCTCTCAGTATGGGGCCACTGTTCTGGATCCAATGTTTAACTTTCTTTTGTACTGGTCTGGAGCGTGTAGGCCCCCCCAGTGCCCCCTGGCGGCCCCCATGGGGCCGTGGCCCCCACTTTGAAAAACACTGTTTTAGAGAACTTTAATTCAACCTTTATTTTAGAGAACTTGTGTCAAAGTATGTAAATCTGGTCAATTATGCTGACATATGCTGAAAAGGAAATAAAATGAACTTGAAACCTCTTTTAGATATAAACATACTGTATTAATAACAAGTTGAATGAACATATAACCTACGAGTAAGGCAGCACGGTGGTACAACTGGTAGAGCTGCTGCCTCTCAGCGAGAAGGTTGCCAGTTTAAATCCAGGGAATTTCTGGGTGGAGTTCGCCTGTTCTCTCTGTGCATGCGTGGGTTTTCTCCGGGTGTTCTGGTTTTCCTCCCACAGACCAAAAACATGCATGTTAGACTGATTGGTAACTCTAAATTGTCCCTAGGTGAGAGAGAGAGAGTGAATGGTTGTTTGTCTCGTTTGTCTGTATGTGTCCCTGTGATGGACTGGAGACTTGTCCAGGGTGTACCCCGCCCCTCGCACAGTGATTACTGGACATGGGAACCGGCAACCCCCGTGACCCAAAATGGAAGAAGCGGATAAAAGATAATGGATGGATGGATGGATGGACCTATGCGTAACTTATCCATCATTTCTCCTTAGCAGATACGGAATTGATGACAGAGTTTTTGTGGCTCTCCTCCACTAACTTAACATACATGTAACATGTGTGAACTTATGCATAACTTACTTGTCACATAGGCTACTTGTAAGTGGACTGCATGCCCAGCCTACCAAATCCTTTGCTCAGCCACTTCCGGACGGGGAGTAGAAATCATCTGCAAACTTTACAATGTGACAGCTTGGATGGGTAGCTGCACAATCATACGTAAGCAGAGTAAACAGGAGGGGGATCAACACACATCCCTGAGGAGAGCCGGTGCTCAGGGTTATGGTGGAGGAGGAGAAGTTGTGGATCCTCACTGACTGTGGTTTGTTTGTTAAGAAGTCTAGTACCCAGTTGCAAATGGAGGGGCTTAGTCCTAGTGT